AATCTGATTGTAAGATGGAAAAGCATCGTCGATAAGAATGGAGACTAATTTATTTATTAACTGTTTTGTTTTGATATGTATGATTTGTTCGGGTTTTTTCATCTAAAAAAAGCAACATAAATTTCTTGGCGACCTAATACTTCCAAGGTGTTTAACGCACGCTTTACTGTTTTCGCTGCACCAATAACCATAGACGACACACATATAATCAATACTCGCACAGTCATTGTGGTCAACTTTGGCTATATCTCATGTAAATACATCTTGTCATTGATTTTTCAAAACTGCAGTAATTATAACGCGAATGTACGCCACTGTGGTATTGATAAGACAGCTGATAAGGTTCTCATTTTGATACTTATTTAAATAATATATCACGAAAATATCCTGAATGATTAGATTAAATCAACCATTATTAAAGTATAAACTGCACAAGTGTACTCTATTTATTAACAAACTTCAAGTATTAGACAGGGTATTATGATTTTAGATCAATTGTATAAATTTACAGTTAATAATTCAACGTGATTGGGAATATAAGGCTAACTGATCTGATAATGCTAACACACGAACCGTGACTAATGCTGTAAATGAATCTTATATAATGAACAGCATAAAACAAAATAAATCTTGTTTGTTCTATGTGTTTGGGCAAAAGAATAAACGTATACACGAGGTTCAAGTTGATTCTTTGTTCACTTAATACCGTATCAGACAAGAAAATAAGGTTATTTTTGGAGTAAAATTTTCTTGTAACAGTAAAGTCTACTTTGGTCAAAAAGATACAATAAAATTACTCTTACTAGTTTTACTACACATTTAAATAATTATTTAATACACTTTTTGTTCGATTTTGTACATCCTTTATGAAAAAAATCTATTTAATATCAGTTATCAGACAAATAATTTCTAAACCTATGGATGACTATGACATACAATTAAGTATTAATAAACAATCATCAGTTTACTTTAAGACTTCTATGTTCTAAGTCAATAAAAACGTAAAACAATCAGCAGCTATATCACAAAATTAACATGACTCTATTATAAGAAATATAATAACCTGCACTGACAAAACTGTTTCATTCAAGTTAAAATTCATATTATTATATTCTGATCTATCAAATTTATATTAAGGAA